CCCCCCCCCCAGTCTACCTTTAAATAATCGCTGCCTGTTATCCAGTCTTTCATTTTCCTCCTAGTCTCTTACTGCTTTTCATGCTTCTTTGGCCAAAACTGCACATTTCTTAGGGAGATTTTTTTTTTCTTTTTACTGCTCCTGCCTGAAGGGCTAGTAGGTACCCTCATGATTCTGTAGCAACTTTCTCCTACCTGCTGCCTTCCAGGTGTGTTGGACTAGGCTCCCCTATTAGCAGGACCACAACCTTGCTGGCTGCGTTGTTTGGGAGCTGGAATCCTGCACATCTTGTGAGCACCACGGAGGGGAAAGCTGCTCTGCGCAATGACTGTGTAATCTTTCAAGAGGCCTCCATCAGCTCCAGTGCGCTTGTTCTGCAGTGATTTCAAAATCCTTGAAGGATTTGTACTGGAGAATAGTAAAGGCGCCTCCCCCAACCAGACCCTACTGTGGCATTTAAAATAATAATGGTGTCAAAATAACAGCACATGTGTTATGATATCATTATACAAAGGATGAAATGACATCTGAGCCAATTCTGTAATTTGCTTGCTGACATCATGATGCATGTGTTATTTGCCCCTCCCCCGCTTACCCTCCCTCCAGGTGCCCATGGACAGAATGAAATATAACATGCTGGCTTGTGATGCTGGGAGTTGCAGCCCAACATGTCTGTAAGGAGCCTAGTTGGGAAACACTAGTGTAATTTTAGCTTTAGCTTTTTTATACATACATACGTACGTATATATACACACACACACACACATACATACACACACATACGTACGTGTGTGTGTGTGTGTATTTAAAATTGTGTACATTGTATTTTAATTTTTGCTAGCTGGTTGGACAAAAACTGAATAAATAAAGTCTAGACAGAATTCACTGTCTCTTGACTGGAAATTTTCTGTCTTGATGAGTACAGACCTTTCAGGGAGGATAATTTAATATTGGGCACAAAGCACCCCAGTGCTTTGGAATTCTTTGCCACCCCCCAAGTTCATGAAGCACCCTCCCCTGCGTAACACTGTTAAAGCAATTATATTTCACTGGGTTTTTAACCCTAGTCAGTTGCTTAGTGGCATCCATCTTGGGGAGGGTTTATTAATCTTATGTGCCTTTTTGGGGGTTTTACTCTGTTGTATGCTGCCTAGTGTCTGCAGATCAGGGTGAATTACAAAACTAGTAACTACATCAATTGCATAATTCTAGGCAGGGATCTTTCCCACCTTACTAAATAATGCTGAGGATTGAATTTGGCTAATATGTTACCTGTCCATAGTATCAAATTATCCAGCTGCACTAAAGAAGGTGAATTGGAGGAGTATCTTTCCATATTTCCTGAGCAGTAACCTTTGTGTTCATGATGCATGTGTTCAATCCTCCTGTGAGGGCCATCTTCCTACATCAGTTATACTGTACATTCTTATTTGGATACTATAAATTTCATCTCCAATTAAATTTTGTTTTATACCCAAGAGTGGGAACTCTCAGTCTACCAAGTAAATCTACTTCTCATGATCTTCTTATTTGACTTTCACTGTAGTCAACATGTATACCTACCCAAGTTATTATGTACCTGTTATTTTTCCAGTAAAAGTCAAGCTGTAAGGAAAGTGCTCTTAAGATTACTTTCCATCAAATCTGGATAGGCTCTTACAGTCTTTTCGTCTTTTAACACCTCAGTTTGTCAGTCAGATACAAATTATAAAATAAGATAGCTAAAGTGTAGGCTTTGATATAACAGCTTAAGGTTTATACTAGAAAGGAATACATTAATGTACCTTTGGTAGTCTCTATGCTTGTATATTGTGTGGCAATGAGTCAGTGTTGTTGATTATTGTTTTACAGTATTTAATCTTTTAAAAAAGAATATAATTTATTGCATATATTTGCAAAAATGTTTTCCAGTATACAAAATTGATAATGTAAAACTTGAATTCTGTTCAGAACCAGAACAAT